CAATGCAATTGCTCACCACCCACCAATGCCCAGCCAGTTTCCGAGCAGCAGTCACTGCCCCCTGGTCAACTCCCCCCCAGCTTCTATTATGAGCATGGTATCATATGGTCTGGAATAGCCCTTTGGCCAGTTGGGGCCAGCTGTCCTGGCTGTGCCCCCTCCCAGCTTCTTGTGCCCCTGGCAGAGCATGGGAAGCTGAAAATTAACCTGGCTGGCAACTAAGCACCACGCAGCCACTCATTCACTCCCCCCCCTCCCTCAGTGGGATGGGGGAGAGAATCAGAGAAAAGGAAAAAAAGTGAGACCCGTGGGTTGAGATAGAGACAGTTTAATAAGAGAGAATAATAATAATAAAAATAATAATAATAATAATAATAATAATAATAATAATAATAATAATAATAATAATATATGCAAAGTAAGTAATGCACAATGCAATTGCTCACCACCCACCAATGCCCAGCCAGTTTCCGAGCAGCAGTCACTGCCCCCTGGTCAACTCCCCCCCAGCTTCTATTATGAGCATGGTATCATATGGTCTGGAATAGCCCTTTGGCCAGTTGGGGCCAGCTGTCCTGGCTGTGCCCCCTCCCAGCTTCTTGTGCCCCTGGCAGAGCATGGGAAGCTGAAAAGTCCTTGACTGTGTAAGCACTGCTTAGCAACAACTAAACCATCAGTGTGTTATCAATATTATTCTCATACTAAATCCAAAACATAGTGCTGTGCCAGCTACCAGGAAGAAAATTAACTCTATCCCAGCCGAAACCAGGACAGCTTACTAGAAGAATTATGAAAGCAAGGCCAAAATAAGCAAACACTTCAAAGCTGCAGACTCCCACTTACATTGTTATCCTTGCAGTAGTAGGAAAGAGCTGGGAAACGCCTTCGGCTCCGAAATTTAGAGCTCCCCACTATGATGTGTGCAGTTGCAGACTTTGGTACATACACTTCCGTAGGATAGGAGTCACAGACCTGTGAAAGGAAACTCTGCTTATTCAGTCTACAAAATACAACTAATATTAGCCATCTCCACAGCAAAACCAAAATACCAAGGAACTAATCTCAGGGAATATTCCATAATTATTGTATACATATCACTGACATTTCTCAAAACAGTCTTTTGAAGCTGGGAACTATTAATTCTAACTTACAGATGGCAAAACTGAAGCAGAAGGGTTGAAGGGCTGTATTTCCAAATGGTAATTCATGCCTCACTGAGAACAGACAGGTATAACATATATTCATACCAGAAAAGATTCCCTATTATGTACAGCAAGGTTGTATTTACAACTGCAGATTCGTCTGCAGCAGAATTTGGAAGTAAGGATGGGAGTGGGTCAAGTTCTCAAACACCCCTCTGTTAAAATGGGAGGGGACTGTAGAGCCAATTTTTCCAGCAAATCTGATTTAAAAAAAAATGACAAAATAGGGATTTGGAGAAAACAAATTAATCCATATGAAATGAGGATACCAAAAGGCAAGCAGCTCTGAAAATGCCTACCACTTCTGAAAGGAACCCAATGAGGCTGCAAAAATACCCAGAAGTTCCTCTGGAGACAATTGGGACCACAAATATGGCCCTGGTCTAACTTCCCTTTCCTGATACTGGCATTCTAGCCAGTGTCAAATGGATTTCCAGTATCTCCCTGGGACTTTCTGAGGTGACTAAGGATGCCCAGGAAGAAATTAGGTTCTAAGAGAGTTGGAGATACGTAATGAAGGAGAAAGAAGAGGAAGGGCTTGTTGTTACAGACGCTGCTGTGGTGAACTGGGGTTTATTCATGATGCCATTTTTCCTACACTTCATCTTAAGAGAGGTTAAACACTTTTTCTGCTTGTTTTTACCAAAAAGAAAACAAACTCTGACAGCACATTCAGTCTTCCCCGAGAACTTCACAGGCCTTCCTTAACATGGATATGCTCCTCCAGCAACAGAGTCAATGGAGTCCATGGACAAATTTCCTTCAAAAATACTTTGGTTACTATTTCTCACAATTAATCAAAATTCTAGGGACTTCAATCATATGGGACTGAACTGGGCAGGATAGCAGACAGCTAGGAAGAGTTATGACCTGTCAGATGACTGAGAAAAACACTAACAGTCAAACACAGAGGTTTCAGAGGCTGGCCAGTGAGGAAAAAATATTGCCAAATACACTGTTTCAACTAATTTTTTATCTTAAAATGACTGTGTAGTAATTTTATATAAACCTACATGTCAGGAAAATGCTCATTCAGACACATAACATTAGGTATGATTTAAACTTCTCCCCAGGCAGCCAAGTACTAATGTTTAAAACTTGCTGTGTACACATTTTCTGCGCTTAATTTCCACATGTATTAGACAAAGACACATCCTTTCTATGTGCTTTTTAATGTGAAAGAATGGAAGAACTGCACCTTGCTACATGTGTGTACAGCACTGAGCACAAAGGGATCCTGCGTCTAAGCATTTTGGTAGTCCACAGTCAGCCTGCTGATTCACTTTACACCCTCTGTAACCGAAAAATCACAACAACTCACTCCGTAGTCTCTGTTTACATCACTAATCTGCCAATAGTTGTTTGGAATACCCATCCGATTATATTCTTCATTGAGGTCCACAAGCTTCCAGCCTTGTTCTCGTTCTTCTTTATCTAATTTTGGATTGAACGAGAAGCAATACAGCTCTTCGTATTTCACTGGAAAAAAAAAAAGCAAACAAACAGAAACAGTAAAACACTTCAGATTTCTCATCCTGAAATCATACTTCAGAGCCAAATTTGGTATTGTCCTTTATGTAGTTTCTCTTTTAAAATAGCACGCTTTACTAGACAAAAGCACGTATCCTGGCTTATAATAATTTTCAAGTGTACTTTGAAAGTACTGTGCTGTTTTGTTACTTGTATATGTTGCAGTACATGTGCCTGATTAGTAAAGCTACTTAAAATATACCGTTCTGCTAGAGCTCCTCTCTACTGAATTGTAAAAGCCTCGCCCAGCACAAAGATAAAATGTCAGTGATAATAAGCTTTCATCCAAAGAAAACTAGTCAGTACCAGAATAAGCACTTGTTCTGCAAAAGAATTTCCTGGGCAGAGGTAGCTCCAAAGTCCCTTTATTAACGTAACATCTGTCCCGTGGCAAAGACAAAAGCTCTGACCAATGGACTATGCAGCACGATCTTCCAAAAATGAACTAACTCAGAAGTCTTTGTCCCTAAATAGGGAATTTTCCAATACATTCAATGAAATACTAGTTTTGTGGACTGCAAAATTCTATCCTTAAATTAGCAGCGAAGACATTCATGATACAGATGTTGTAATGGCATAAAAATAGCATATGTTACATCAGTCATTCCATCATGACCATGAACTTGTGCAAGTAGCTATGCCACCTGCCACGGTCTGTCAAGGACTGTATAATAAACTTTGCTTGTGCTGGAGTTTTAACTTTTTTTTAGGAATATATCTGCATTTATGTTCGTGAGTGTCTTAATCCTGGTGACCCGTGGCAGCCAGACACCATTGCCACGAGATGCCAGCTGTCAGTGATATGAATAACTATTCAGCATATAGCTTGAAATTAACATTCTCATTGATATTAAAGATATTATGTCATGAGTTCCTTAAAACTTTCTTACCAACAGAAAGCTTTAACTTTAGAACTGAAGTAAAGTAAATCACAAGTTGAGTCCTCTCTGACTTCATGGTTCCGCACAGATACAGGTGCTTCACAATATAGTTTTAACAAGATCAATAAATTAAAATACTACACTTTCTTTTCTAATAACCAATACCTTATAAGCAGAGTCTTAAAACCCTACAGTAACGAACTTTTTGATATAAAAATAACAACAACAAACCTAACCACAATATTAATAATAATAAGGCTCCCAACTTTTTCAGCAGAAAATCTTTACTTTTGTTTTGATTCTGTCTTTTAAAGGTGTAATTTAAGTTATATTTAGCTTTTTAAAATTTGAATTAAATTGATTACATATACACACGCACACAAAAGTACAAACGTAAGGGAAGAAAACATCATGTTAACTGTCAGGAAAGTACTGAAAGCCAACAAAGCCTTGAGTAAGGAGAAAGAAAAGAAGTGTTTGCCCATTGTCTGACAGTTCATGCTCTGCACTCTCAGATTTCATACTTCTGTCATGGCAGAGATTAAGAAGACAGTCTGGCTTATTTCTCATCTGCTAACATAAAGTTTTAGCATAATCCATAAATCCAATCTGAGCTCATTTTAATAGAGTGCTTTTGGTAGCAGTCTGAGCTCTTGTTTTTACTGCTTTGTTGTCAGAAGCATCTGGATTTTCTTTCCAACTGGACCTGCTGTTCACAGGCATGTAGGAATCCTTTAAAAATCCATCGATTAAAATATATCCATGTTATGTATGACAGAAGTCTGACTCAACACTACAAGTATCATTATATGATGGTATCTATGGATGGCAACAAAAATGTTAAAGTATTAAGGGTCAGTGCCTTGAAGCTCAGTTATCAGCTCTTCTCCAGCACTTCTAGGACCTTCGCTAATCTTTCACATTTTGCCATAAGCATCTGCAATCCTGCTATTACACTTGTAATAACTGTTACGGTCAGCTTGTTTCAAAAAATGGGTTAATTAAGCAAAAAGACCAAATCCAGCTGACAGCTTGACCTTATTAAAATGCTATTAACAGCCATCAAGAATAAAATCAAACACAAATTTGCTCCTTTAGTGTAACTAGGATGTTAGATAACATAGAATATATTAAGCCAGTACCTAGATGGGTTTCACTCAGGTTCAGCTATGGTGGAATGAATGGCAGAGAACAAAAAATAGAACCTGAATGAGTCAAATTTTCTCCTCATGGAGCAAAGGGTACCTTATAATGTTACTACCTTAAGAAAATACAGCTTTGTGCCCAGACAAATAGACACAGCAGAGCACTGCATATGTGGCTCAACTTGCAATTGGAGCCTTCTAATTTTAAGTAAACAAGATTTTGTCCTGCCTCACGTGAAGATCGGATATTTCGCTGGAGAAGAAAACCTACTGTGCAGCTGTACTGTGCAAAGAGCTAATTCTGTGGTGCTTTTATTCCATCTTCTTCATTCAAACCTTTGCAGTCTGCCACTGAACTTGTATTCAGCGTCCACAGCTATTCTTCCCTTCGCCACTCCGTATGCCCGTATCGAAGCATCCTGTTCTGGGGCATAGCAGTATGCCACCTCCTCCTGGCTCCATGGAAAGAGCATTAAAGAACCGCATTCCTCCCAGCATGCATGAACACATACTTGCAGCTGTGGCCCATGGGATTAATCCAGATTTACATCAACAGAAGCACTGGCTGAATTTGTCTCATTGTTTTTAAATTTCTCTGATTACTTTCATCTTGCATCACCTATCAAGTTACACCTGCTGCAGTTGCATATTACTACTACTGCCACTATCCTAAATATAGAAGGTAATTTATAAAGTTCAGTAGCTGTGCTGGCTGACTGTGCAATTCCCCCCACACCCCACCCGCTCTACACAGCAGATCATAGAATGGAATGATAGAATCATTTAGGTTGGAAAAGGCCCTTAAGATCATCGAGTCCAACTGTTAACCTAACGCTGCCAAGTCCACAATGAGGTAAAATTGGTGTCCTCCTAGCAAGATAAAAATTAAAGCCAGTGTTGTCAGTTTTGTACAGGTTGTGGTAAACATTTTCCTTGCATACTGGCAAAATAATAGTAAAGGACAGAGGTTAGTGTTGTATTTCTACAGGTATCAAGCAATCCAGAAGCTTTGTCAGCTGGTTCTTGGGAAAGCAGCTGTAACGTAGAGGATCAGATGTTGGACTTTGCTGCAACATTTTGATTTCCATTGAAAAGAGGAAAGGTTTCAAAAGGAATTTGATCTGAATTCAGAAATTCAAAAAGGGCACATTCAAAACTAGGTAATAATAGGCACAGGCAGTCCAGTGGAATAAATCAACTACTTGCTGCAACAGCTTTTACTGATTTTAAGAAATTGGTGCACAGCACAGAAAGAGAAAATTCAGACCTTGACATGACCACTAATTATATCTTTTTTTTTTTTTTGTCACAGTAGGAATGTGAAAATTCCCTGGATTTAGAGACTTGACAGTATTTTCCTAAACTCACACTTACACAAGGCATCCAGTAAACAACAGCTACACATAAAATAGCATTATAATGTATTTTATGGCCAGTGATAGCCTAGACTATCATTTTCAATAGAAGTTCACAACATACTTTATGGAATGAACTACTTGCTGTAATATGCTTTCTTCATTGCTCCGTTAGTGATTATTTTAATACGCTCATCTGCTCAGAGACCTTTTCCTCATAACACATCTCTAATGAAGCCTTTTTTCTTAAACTGCAAAGCACAAAGATGCACAGCTACATTTCTTCCATTATATTCTCCCTCTTCAGGATGAGGATTGAATTTTGTGCCAGTTGCCTTCTCATACCTGGTCGTGCCAGACGTATCAGAGATATGTAAACGTCATGGCAGTCTCGTTCCTGAGGAATGACCAGCTGGATAACCTGGAAATTCTTGCAGCGGATCAGCAACGGGCAGCCAGTGGCAGTGGTGGCCTGCTTCTCAATAGAGGAAATTTGGCTGTGAAGAACCTGCAAGGGAATTGAAAATGGTTATGTGAAGTAATTCACATTTTTTGGAAGAAAAATAATTATTTGTGGTGATGTGCCTGGGCAAGCACAGTAGCTTCCACGTTATTGTTTCAGAAAATCCTCACGCTCCTCCTCTTGTTTTGTTCCTGTCTCCAGCTTCAGGCTGAAGAAGTGCCTGATACATCACCTACAGACAAAGAAGCGCTTCTGGAGTGTTTCAGCTGCTCAAACATTAGCCTGTTCGTGCTATCCAAAGCTTTTTGTTTGTTTGCTTTAGTGTAAACTAACAGCTGTCAGAAAAAGGAGCTGTTTCCATCCATCCGCACAGCAAAAAGATGAACCAGCACCAGTTAGATAAGGCTAAAATGTTGGACCTCCTCATTGGCAGAATGGTAGTCCTGATATAAGTTAAAATACTGCATCAGATGAGGTGAAACATCACAATAACAATCAGGAGGGGAATAGTGGGACCAACAGAGGATGGAGTCAATACTTACTACAAAAATGGACAAAGGGTTCATAATTAAGCTACATAAAAGACTCTCAAATTGTTTGACACTGGAGCTATATCTGTGCTTATATATATACATGCAACATATGTTATTGTCCATCAAAATAGATAACTCAAAGTACTACATCATGCAAAAAACCCAACCACCCAACCAAACACAATCACTGATCCAGCACAAGCAGTTATGGAGAGAGGCAAGAGCTGACTGAGTCCAGGTAGTAATTCACACTGGAAGTATTTCTCCTCAGTTCTTACAGTGAAAGTCCTTCTACTCCTCTGTGTTGTGCTATCCAGATTCCATTGAAAATCTTCAGAAATTACCAGGCTGGAATTTCACATGCTCTGAAGTTATAAAAGCACCCATATGAACTAATTTACTATATTTAAACTGTTTTGCAAGTTATTTTCAAATTACCATAAATATAGTGCCACGCACTTACAGCTAACTGAAAAAACAAAA